CGCGTCCCCCGCCCGGTGCAGTTCCCCCTTCCTCCTTAGTTTGACCAGCATCTCTCATCTCAGCCATGCCAGTCTTTTCCCTTCTTTGCCTGATTTCTTAAACCTAGGGATCAAGAGCTCTTGCGCTCTGTGGATCACATCCTTAAAGACCCGCCAGCTCTGTTCTGTTCCCCTGTCCCTGAGGACCGTTTCCCAGGGAGTCCTTCTGACTATCTCCTTGAGGAGCTGGAATTTTGCTTTTCTAAAATTCAGGGTCCTGACTATACTCTGTTATTCCCATTTCCCTCAGGAGCGTCAGCTCCACCAGCGCATGATCACTGCAGCCCAGGCTGCCTCCGATCTTGACGTCTCCAACGAGCTCACTTGCATTGGTGACCACCAGGTCCAGTATCGCATCCCCTCGGGTAGGGGTGTCTATTACTTGGCTTAAGAAGTTGTCCTCAATGCATTCGAGAAACCTGCTGGATTGCCTACAGCTTGCAGTGTTGGTTTTCCAGCAAATGTCGGTGTGGTTGATGCTTCATCAGTCGGCTCCTCTTGATCTGGTGGCCTGTAGTAGACACCAACCACCAGGTTCCCTTTGTTGCCTCTCTCTCTAATTCTTACCCATAAGCTTTTGACCTGCTCGTGGCTATTCTTCAGGGACAGCTCTTCACACTGTAATGATTTCTTGATGTAAAGGGCAACGCCTCCGCCCCTCCTTCCTCCCCTGTCCCTTCTGAACAGCCTGTAGCCATCAATAGCTACATTCCAGTCGTGGGATTCATCCCACCAAGTTTCCACAATGGCAATCAGGTCGTAGCTTTCCAACTCCTCTTCTTTGTTTCCTGATATAAATCTCCTAGGAGGACTAACTTGTTTGCAGACTGCACATGAGGTATTGTTTACACAGATTTGGTATTTAAGATTCACTCTTAATTAGAAACAGAACCATTTAATTAAACCAAAGGTAGACAAAAAGAAAACTAAGATCAGAAGTCTATAGGGTGATTTGACTCAGAATAGCATAAGTTGGCTTAAATCACTTAAAAAAAAAACTAAAAATAAGCTACTCAAATCAAATATACATACTTTTAATTAGTTTATATTTTAAAATGAGCGAACAACACTGGGAACAACATTAATGTAACAGATGCTTCAGAATTAGTATCCTACTGCTTTTAGAACACACAGCTCGCTCTTGTTTTAGGCCATCTTCAGGCTTAGTAAGGTAGCATTACAGCAGTCTGTATTCAGAAGATTGTCTTTTCTGTCCCAAGGGTTATGCCATTTTACTTTTAAAACCACTGAAAATGGAAAAAAATTGAAAGCTTACTTTCACAAAAACCCAATGAATAAGCTCTCTGCTCGTTAGCAGATATTTCTACTTCCTATAGAAAAACCAATTGCTAAACTTTCAGAAAAAGAGAGACTGAACTAGGGCTATTAAAAAAAGGGGAGAAAAGTCAGAGGCACGGGGGGGGGGGGGAAAAATAAAGCTATTATTCATTTAAAAAGATAATTCAGATATGTGCATATATATACTCTGATGCAGTATAAGTTAAGAGAAAGCATCGCTGACCTCCAAGTCAATAATAACAAAGTATTTATACAAGCAATCAATATTTGCCACTGGGGACCAAATTTATTTATTTATTGTTCATTCTATTTTTGTTCATTCTTAGGCCAAAAATTTAAGTCTCAAGAACAGGCTTAAAAAATACATACTATATTGCTCTTACCTTGCACTGGTTGTGCAAGATAATTAAGCCTTTAAATTTTCCAATTACAAAGACAAAAAAGCCCTGTAAAGTTTGTGGTTTGTGAAGGGAGGGGAGGAAGGTGGTTAAAAAAAAAAAAAAAAAAAAAAAAAGAAAAGACAAAAGCTACATACCACATTCCATGATAAACCCTAAAAGTGTTGCTAACCGAAGGGATGCAGAAGGAGAGGAAGCCTTTCCAATTCAAAGGTCACACTATCACTAGTTGCATTCCTCTTCTCAGTGGACCGTAAGTAGCCAAAGGTGCAGTGAGTACCCTAAGCTCTTTTAGCATCAGGAACAAAATTGCTTTCACTTTGCTGTTTTGCTCGAGGCTGTTAACCCACAGGCAAAAGCTACAAAAACATTAAAGGAAGCAGCCCTCTCTCACCTGCTGAGATCCATTTAATTCTGTACAGCAACCGTAAGGAGTACTTTTGTCAGCTCCATGACTGAAGCTTCCTTGGGCTGGGGTATTTGTAAGGACAGGCTCCCACATAACTCTCTGATGCCTGACCATACATGTATTTCTATTAGTACAGTTTTTCATCTCAATATAAGCTGCAGGAAGCTTCAACAGGATTCTTGGTCACCACTTTTCATGAAACTTGGTGAAAACACTAGTCTTTGGAACCTCCACCTGTCTGTCAAGCTTGAGCTTCCTTGGGCTGGGGTATTTGTAAGGACAGGCTCCCACATAACTCTCTGATGCCTGACCATACATGTATTTCTATTAGTACAGTTTTTCATCTCAATATAAGCTGCAGGAAGCTTCAACAGGATTCTTGGTCACCACTTTTCATGAAACTTGGTGAAAACACTAGTCTTTGGAACCTCCACCTGTCTGTCAAGCTTGACTGAGAACTACCAGCAGATCAAAGTTAGGGAGAGACACAGGAAGAGGTAAACAAGTGTATATGTAGAGCACAAAGCTGTGCCCTTAGAAGACAATGCTAAAGATGCAGAGGTGTGTCTCCTGCTGAGCTGGCCATGGGAAGAGGTCACTGCTGACAGGCAATCTGCTGGCCCTGGTCAGATTTTAACCACCTCATCAGTGTTCAACAGCTCTTGAAGTTTTTCAAAATCCCAAACTACAAAGATTAACATGCATCTCTTCTTCCTGTAAGACTGATTCTCAAGTAAAATGTCAAGTCAAGCTGTTAATTATATTTACCGTGACTATAAGGAGATGAAAAGATTGAGAGATCATTTAGCTTTATTTTGTCGATAAACAAGATAAATACGATCTTGCTGCACATATCTCTATTGATGAGTCCCCTACCAACTACTAAATTTGCCAGGCACTTTCAGTCAAGTTTGACATAGTGTGGAGTCCCTGAAATGATTAAGTTCCCACCTTTCATGGAACTGGACTGGACAGGGAAAGACTCCTTGTTAAGTGCCCACACTGAGAAACACAGCAGTGTAGGCTTACCTGCACTATCAGCCACCAGAGAACCTCCACTGGAGACTGCTAGAATAAGTGAGCTCCACAGAGGGCCGGGCTTTGTATCTCCTGCTGCCCATGCAGCTACCTTTATTTAAAAAAAAAAAAAAAAAAAAAAAAAAAATCAATGAATGGAACTAAATAGGCCAGGCAGAATTTATTAAGAATATTCCCAACTAACCCACTTCATATAATAAAACTGAAAAGGAACAACACACACATGCCAACCCCCCCCACACACACACTCCAGGTTGTTATCTCTGCCTACTCTTGTGACTTTGCAACCATATTCCTCTTTTCAAATGTCTTTCTCTTTCTTCTGTGCTACTTTGTGAAAGATCCAAACAAACACGGAGGAAGGAATTAACCGAATATAAAGAAGGTTTGTATTCAATGCTGACACACACAGAGAAAGAACAAACCAAAGAGCATAAGTAGCTCTTTCCCCCTCTCTAATCTTTTTCTCTTAATCTTCTATAGCTCATCTGCATTACAGGTTTCTCTGCAAACAGAACTACACGACCCCCCTGCAGTACCTACTTTATACCAGCGCTGAAAATCACCAAGATGTGCACCCCTGGTTGCTGCAGAAGCACAGTGCTCCTTTAGACAAGCTTTTAAACAAGCTTTGCAGATTCAAAGAGGAAAACCTCTGTAGGCAGATGTATTTTTTTTTTTTTAACATCAACAGCATTCCCTTAAAAGAAATAGAACAGCAGGGTCCTTCTGAGTTGCAAAGTGACAGCAGTAATACTGGTGGGATGATGGTGCTCTAAACACCATTACTGATACAGCACTTGCACACTTCCAGACAGATCTGGGAACAATGGCCAAAGCATCAGAAGCATAGACACAAAAAGAATAAAGCAAATCC